GAGTTGTAACTCCCCTGATGTTCCCATATGCGCTCCTCCCAGTGATGCATTGAAGTCCTTTACTTCAATCATGATTCACTGAAACAAATAAAATCCCTATCCTATCCTTGCCCCCTTGAACCCCCCCCCCGGTACTTCCCTCGGGCCAAAAAGAAGAGCAGAAGCCTTGCCTTCCCCCATTGCAAACCCCTCTTCCTTGCCTGCCCATGCCCCATTCCCTTGAAACTCTCTCTCTGATTGCCTCTGCTGTGTTTGTGCCTGCCTTCTAGGATATCCTGCTGCATCATAAGCCCTGAAGCCCCTCAGTCGTAAAAAATGTAGAAATGTTGAGTCGAGTCACTCGTTCTTTGAGCCTGAGTTGCATCAGAGACGAGTCACCAATATACTTGAGTTGGACTTGGGAGTGAGTAGTTCAACTTGAGTCCCCAGCACTGCTGCCTATAGTCTTGGGAGTAGGTGAACCTTCATGCCTTTGGTTTAGCTTGACAGCTCACCTTTTGATAACTGGCCTATTTTGCCAGCAAATAGGACCCGAGACATTGCCTAGGTGAGGCTTCCTTTTTTCATACCTCTGGAAACTGTGTTTTCACAAGGGCACACTCGTGAGAGACTTAAACGGTTAAAAATAACTAAATAAATAAAAATCTTGCAGGTGTAATTGTGGGACAGCTAGCATTGACAGTTGCCTAGGTGAGCTTGACAAGAGTGGCAAATGCCTTGCTGGCAGGTCCCCAATACTAATGAGGGCTCAGTTTCCCTGGTTCAGACATGACAACCCATTGTGGCTATAACAACCCCTGGAACAAGGTCTGGGTTGTCAGAGTGGCTTGTTGCCCTCAAGCAAAGCATTTTTGTGGGAAAGAGTTTGGGTCCATACTACATGATAACCGACAGTGGCTTGCCACCCACAACAGATTGTTGTGTCATGTGAACCCAGTCATTTTGAAAGCAATATTTTGAAATATACATAGTGTGAAGAAATATGCCCTTTGTCTATTCTGAATCTTCTGTCATTCAAATTCACCAGTTGGCCCAGAGTACTATATTACTATGAGAGAAGGGGGAAAAACTTGATCCACTTTCATAATTTTAAAATTCCAAGATACCCTTTTTGGTACTAGGTCAAACCTATCCATGTATAGGCAGAGTTAGAATTTTTAGCTCCAATGTGCATTGGTTTACACTTAAATGTTTAACTTGAACCTCATATTGTTACCCATTCACCCAATTTAGCAGAGATCCTTTTGGAACTCCCTACAGGCTGTGTGGAATGAATTAAGACATCTGCAAACTTGTCACATCACTATTTATTCCTAACTCATTTATGAACAAGTTAATTAGCACTAATGCTAATACAAGTCATTTGGGGATTATATTCCTATTCTGTGTCCTGTTGCTTACCCAGTTAGCAGTTTGAGAAAAGGTGTGTACTGCTATGCCATGACTGCTATCCAATTACCTGTTGTTGTTAGTCGCAAAGTCGTGTCCAACCCATCCCAACCCCATGGATAACATTCCTCCAGGCCTTCCTGTCCTCCACCATTCCCAGAGTTCACTCAAGCTCACACCAACTGCTTCAGTGACTCCATCTAGCCACCTTATCCTCTGCCTTCCCCTTCTGCTTTTGCCATCTATTGTGCCCAACATTAGGCTCTTCTCCAGGGAGTCCTTCCTTCTCATTAGGTGGCCAAAGTATTTGAGTATCTTTAGGAACTGGCTTTCTAAAGAGCAGTCAGGGTTGATCTCCTCTAGGACTGACCAGTTTGATCGCCTTGCGGTCCAAGGGACTCGCAGGAGTCTTCTCCAGCACCACAACAAAAAGGCCTCAATCCTTCGGTGCTCAGCCTTCCTTATGGTCCAGCTTTCACAGCCATACATTGCAACTGGGAAAACCATAGCCTTGACTATACGCACTTTTGTTGGCAGGGT